AATTGGAAGCACGCCCCAACGCATTTAGCAGATTCCTCAAATATATATTTTTCGGGTTAACTTAGGCGTGGTCAAGAAAGAATGACTGGCAAGGTTTTCACGATGGGTGGAATTTTTTTGATTTTTAAATTAATTTATACATTTTATTACATTAAAAAAAAACGAATGAATTGCAGTATGATACATTTTTAATTTTATAACTTTAGGAATTTCATTTTAAATTTATACATCATACCCTTAAATGTATTCAACCTACACTCCAAAACACTTATATCTGGTAGCCAGTTCAGATTCGTATCCCGTATAACACCGAGGAACTAAACTTTACTCACTTCACTCAACACAACAACACCAAACCGTATTTGAAAGTGACTATAATTAGTACGTAGAGACTGAATGCAAATTATTTTGCTTTTATCTGGGTTCATTGACTGTCTACTTATTTTCAGGTACCTAGTTAGTGTAACTTAATCACGCTCAACTCACAATTTAATTAGCAGTGAATCATTACCATTGTCAAATAAACTACATTCATCTGCAAATAAAACAATTTTTCTACCAGGACCAATATATGGATATCGTTTATAAAGATTAGAACTCAAAACGAACCCAATATAGAACCCTGAGGTACTCCTTTATTAATATTTTTTATTAAATTGTTATTTTCTGAACAAACGAAACGTTTTCTATTTTTTAAGTAGCTATACACCAATTTCAAGGAACTAGATGAGATATAAATACAATATATGAACGCTTAAACAACAAAGCTCATGATTATTAAAAGCTGTTTTCAAATATATAAAAACGCCAGTTACAATATTTAAATGAGAGAAATTACTAAAGATCATATATAAATAAGAGCATTCTGAGTTCCAATTTGCCTACGAAAACTATATTGATAAATATTGGCCTATAGTTTCTTGGTTTACTTGTTACATCACTGGAATTCCTTAAGATTCTTGTGACTGCATACCAATGCAGTCACAACCAAACGCACTTTAATCTTTGAGATCCTCAATAACTGTTAGAACCTCCAAGCCACTAATATTTCGAAAATTAAAACAGGTACAATTATTGTTCAATAAACCAATAGTTCGAGTCAACCTTTTGCAAGAAGCAGAAATAGTTTTACCTAATAAAACATTTAACTCTTCAGCAATCATAATAGGACCAGGTATCTTAATATTTTCCTCATTTAATAAGTATTTTATTGTTTGCCTACATTTATTGCCTGTAATGCTACTACAAAATGAACAAAGCTTTTTTAGGTCACAGCCACATGAATTTTTTCGATGCAGACAATATATCTCTTTACTAACCTTGATTGCACTCTTAACAATATTACTAATTCTCTTAAAATTGTCATTTCTCATACGATTTTTTACCTGAACAAGATTTTTTAATGAGCCACTTAACACAAATCTTTCTCATCTATATTCTATCTAAATCTAAATTACTGTAATTGTCTATTAATAATGCATCATAAATCTTGTTGAAATTTCAGAGAAACTAATTTTTGTTTTTGTCATACCTACAGAATTGCATGTCTCAATTTATTTAAATGAACTATAATAAAATTATGGTCGCTAACATTTTTTTTTATAGTAACAATAGTTGAACTATACAAGATGGTCTTACAATTAAGTTGTGTTAGTGATCATGATTATACGAAGAGAGTAAAGACCAGTATCACAATATAAAGCGCAGTAGTTAAGTTCATTAATAGTTAGTGAACATTAAAAGAAAGAACATTAAAAATCCGTATTTTTGAGATCGGTAATAACATATTAAGTTAAAAGGTGTATAACTAAAAGTTACATCGGTTAATTGTACACTAATAGCATTGAAATCGTTTTTATTACGAATGTTCAAAACCATATTTGTATTTGATTATAAATACTAATTCCAAAAGCAATCCGTACGATACGAGTGCTCGTAAAAGTAATTGTTTTTAAAGTTATATACTCTACGCGAGCTAAAACAGCTCATTTGAGATTGAATAAATAAATAAATAAATAAATAAATAAAAACTTATATAATTCTTAAAGTGAATTATTCTAAAGATAAGTCTCCTGAATCATAATTATCCTCGGGAGCTCATTGGTTATAGTTATCATAGTTATCCTCGGTGTTATTTTTTATGCACATTAAATGGTGTTAAATTGAGGTTATAGCTGAAATTATTTACAAACTTATTAAGGTTATCAATTGATTTGAAATTCATAAAAGTATTACTGACTTAATAATTTACAAGAGTAAATTTGCTTACATCAGTAAGACCTTTCAACAATTTTTTGTTTTTAATAAACAAATCTTTTTTGTTTATTAAATCTTTTTCTTTTACTGTTTGAAAACTCTATCTTTGCCAAGACCTTTTCATTCATATTACCATTTTTAGCTTTATTTACTTTATATTACTTAAGTACTTTGAACTCATTAATATCCTCAGTTCTTTGCCAATTTCCATACTCTTTGTTGCTTATTTTAACCACAGATATTATATCAGTGTAACTTTTCATCAAAGAGAGACTACCTTTCATGATTATGGGTTTTTTATTATAGTACGTAAACCTGTAATGGCATTCTGCATTTTATCGTTCCGTTTTTTAATAAGTTTGTTTTCCGTTATTTAAATCATTATATTACTTGTGTTTAAATCATTATATTTAAATAATATAATGTTTTATATTATATTATATTAAACATTAAATTATATTTTAAGTTGACAAAATTAGCTAATAAGCACATACCATGCATCTCTTTACTCAGATCATCAAATTTCTCAATAATTATGTCCAATTGAGTCTTATTTTCAAGCTTGTTCATTTCTTGGCTGCCAGATTTGCTGGTAAGATGAACTGCTTTTGTTTTGAATTTTTTTGTACTAGCTATGCGTGTGGTTACATTCTTCAACCGTGGATCACCCAAGATGTTTTCGTTACATTAGTCTTATTTCTTTTCTATTGGAGGCAAAAGAAAAGGTGGTTGGTGGATTCATACGGCTGGCTGCTTCCTTGACATTGATGGTACATTTGATAACTCCCCATATTATGTTATATGCGAGTGATTGCACCAACTAGGATTGATACCACAACGAGCAGATGGATAAGTCGAATGTTGCAGAATAGGACTGTTATATCCACCATAGCTGACGATACCCTCCTTGTCTCTGTTGTAGAAAAGTGCCCGCACGGTGGGTTCCATTGTAGTGGATAAATTGATCGTTCCGCTCAAGTGCTTCAGGGTAAACCTCTAGGGCTACGCCGGCGATATGTTCTACAGCAAAATTTATGTATTGTAGAAGAGTGAAATAAAACAAAAATCGCAGCAAAAGTACCTTGGTTGCTTACACCAGACGTAGAAACAGAGAAAAATTAACGAAACCTATTCTATTGTTGAACTTATTGACCATTCTAAAGAGACGAAGTACCTTGACCTAACCCTAGATGATCGTCTCTCCTGAAATACCCATATAGACATGGTAATCGTGAGAGTTACACGGCTGTTGTTAGCCTCATCGTAACATACCCGTCGATCGTGTGGTGCTACAGGGTTCAACAGACGCGTTTTCAGGCCAAATTGCAGAAGCTTTGAAAGTTGGACAGCTTGGGAGTATCCGGGGAAACGCTGATGACTCCTACCACCGCCCTGGATGTGATGATGACAATTTCGACTTTTACTTACAAGATTCTGTTTGCTGATCGACTGACCTGGAAATGGAAACGCTCGGTATATAAGTAGAGCTCAAGCTTGTGTTAGGTGGATGAGTCCAAAATGAAATCGGGTGTATATGGTGTCGCTCCGGAAACATAAAATAGAGATCTCTGAAAATCAACTTAGGAAGGGGTATAAAAATTGTACTATCTATGTGTTCTAGAACAGCAGCTGTTGTCTTTCCGGAAGATTGCAGTTGGTCAGGAGCAGTGCTACTGCATTTCAAGAATTGCCATCTGCTAACAGAGGTTCGCTCATTTTGATGCCTGACCGCAGAGAACATATCAGGTTTGTCTACCTGATTGAGGCGGAGTCCGGCTTTTGCTGGCATACGCTGCAGAATGGTTATGGATGAAGATATACAAACAGGGTTCGTGCTATTGCAGGAAAACACCACCCGTATAAATCGGGAAAATCGAGAATATGTGGAGCAGATTATGTGGAGCAGAGCAATTGCGCAGATTATGTGGACACAGTGGAGAGACTGCCGTGCACATTCTTTGTAACAGCCCTGTACTGGTTGTCCGGCGTTGTAATTGTTTTGTTCGGAGTTTCATGAGCGTTTAGGAAATGCTGTCTCCAGATAATATCTCCAGATTTGTATTTGGAACAGAGGTATTATAGACTGGAGCGTGGAGAAGCTGCAATAAGTTGCGAATGGGCTCAATTTACTTCTATTCTAAAAAATAAGGTTCTCCAAAATCTACATTATATTTTACCAGAATTTCTCTTTCACGGAACTTTTTTAGGTATACTCGCTTATTGGAAACAGAACACAAGAGCAAAAAAGCTAAACCTTGAAAACCGAAAGAGAGTGGGAAAAGAATGATAATTTTTTTGTGTATATGGTAATCGATTTATAATTTTTTTGCGTATACAGACTGTAGCTCGAAAACGAATATATTTCCAGTCCTATAAGAATTCACTTGACCAAAACTATGACGAATAACGCTGTTTGTTAGTAAATGACAGTAGTAAGTAGATAAAAGATTTGTAGTCATGTCACAATGATCGAATTAAATTAATTAGCTAAGCAAGCAAGGGTCCACTTATCGATTCAAACCAAAATTACAAGCAAATTGAAATTTTTTCTGTATTCTTCTTAAAAAACAGAAAAAAAAATTAAATGCTTCAAAAATTACCTTTTACTTCCAAAAAAGGATTTTAATAAAACTTTAAGTTTTTTTTGCTTACGTAAGTATATGAGCAAAATATTTATGTGTGTGTTTGTTTGAATTTTGGAAATATATGTGTGCATGTAAGTAATGAATTGAATAAAAACTTACATTTTGGGTCTGTGCATTTTAGTATAGTAGTGTCGATAAATTCTGGAAGCTCTATAGGCTCACAACAATAATGAAACATATTCAATATCAGGATTTTTTTATTCTCTGAATTTATATTAATTATGTAGATGCGTGCATAAATTTGTAACGTGTAAAATTTTCTGACACAGAACACCTCAGTTTTACTTCTATTACTTCATAGTACACACAAACCTTGCGCACAAAGTACGTGAACATGCATATGTATGTGCAGGGATGGAACTGTTACACACAGTCAATATCAAAAGCTCATTTTATACGGTTTTAGTTATAAAAACGATATATGTATTCTTTAATAGCATACTTATATAAATTTTTCAAAAGTCTAAGAGCGATTTAAAAGTGACAAATTTTCACAAAAACTTTTAGAAGCACAAAAAAATAGAAGGCCAATTTATATATTCTTGTTGGTTTTAAATAGGATATTTCCTTTGTAAATCATGAATAAACTTGTATTCTAATTTATTAAAAAATAAGTAACAGAAAAAAAAATTGGTTTCGTGATGAGTAATTTTCTAAATAACATTTTTAGGAACCTTGTCAACAAGGTTTTCAAAAAAAAATTTATTATTCATTAGTATTGATAGGATTTGTATGACTAATAAGCTGGTGAGCCTTACCTGAAGCTGAAAACGTTATTTTTTCCTTACTCCACTTGGAAGCAGACGGTTTCTATTTGATATTTGTTTTATTATTGGCTATTTTGTTACTTGATCCAAGTCCGAATTTTTTAGCTTCAAAGTGATGGGTCTCTACCAAGTATTTTTCAAGTATTACAGTCTCCTTAAGCGATGTAGATTTCGTCAGAGTTCGTCATTATCCGCAGTAGTTTGTGACATTTGCGGTGTAATCCTCTTTTTATTCGGAGGCTTTTTTGGTGACAAATACTGCCTGAATAATAGTAACTAACGATTTTTTTTGCTGACCACTGAGTTCCAGTCTCTTTCTGCAGCTGTTGTTTATTTTAACCGTCTAAGTCTTGCTAATTTTTATTTCGGAATCCACGTATGTTAACGCTTTGAAAGTATAAGTAAAATATACCTAAATTTTTAGATTCAATGTTTGCTTTATTATTGCTTTTATTTGACGATTTCTTTCAATGTTTGCCTTATTCTTGCTTTTATTTGTTTTGGATCAGTTGACGTCGTCAAAATTTTTTAGTTAAAATTTGAATTATAAAACTTTGGAAAGTTTGCTAGGTACTTACAATTTGGGTGCCAGAGTATGATTTACCTTTTATTCGCTTGATCTCTAATACGAACGGAACCCAGCCTGTTGGTCTTTTTATCCATGTCTGCGCAATACAACTTTATATTGCTTATTTTTTCAAAGAGTTGTTTCCACTTTTCCAACTGGAATTTCGATGCTTTATTAGGTTGTCATTTATAAGTTGGCTTAAAAGGCGTTTTATGTTTGTTATTTCACCGGTAAGTCGGTTCGGAGCAAATCATGCATTATATTTTGGTTGGCGTATTGTGGAGTTTAAGATGCCATCAATTTTAATTACTTTCGTTTGTCCTTTGTAGGGAGCCCCTTTACTTGTTTTGCAAAACTCCAGTACTGAGAAAAGTGGTTTTCATTTTCAATTGTCCGCAGTTCAATTGACACTTAACCTCTCCGCTCTTCTTGATAAGGTTTCAAGTTTTTTCCAGGGATCCATGGATGTCCGTAAGTTTCTTCAATAGCAAGTGTTTCTTCTGCTGTTTTTGAATTTTTTTCAGAAAATTTTTGAAAGGGTGTTCTTGGTAAAGTAGCAATTTTTCCGTGCTGCTGGTCACTTTAAGTGACTCAGATTAGGTTTAGATTTATGTTTAGGTTAACGCGACCACCGAATACACTTAGGCTACTTGAGCCCGTTGTGATGCCGGTGAATCTCCTTGTCCCCATACTCTCGTGAACCAGCCCGAGTCCTTTAAAAATCGGCTTTGGCCTCTGGTATTTACATTCGCCATTCCCGTAATTCGCGGACAAATGCGATGCAAGGAACCTCCGCCTTTTCCTTGCCAAAGCGCTTGAGCACAAAATATGAGTCAACGTCTCTTCCTCCTCTTCGTCACAGCCGCTCCTGCAGTCGTTAGCGGAACAGCGGAACATTTGATTAATCCAATGTTCCGCCGAGGGAGAGACAACAAGTCTGTCGTGCGACGCAGGTCCTGACTAGGCCAAAGTTGCCTGGTCTCCCGGAATGTTGCCTCATTTTTGCAGCTTTACAATTTACTTCCTTAAAATGTCAACTGGAACAAGGTAAAAAAGTACCTCAAATACCTCCTCCAATTCACATCAATGCCATCCTCTGGACCTTGCGTGCCAGCCTCATATTGATGGACCTGCCAGCGCAGGCCACCACACCAGAACCTCGTACATCAGCACAGTAACCAATACGTGGCTCGATGCCGCACTTGTTCCTAATGGCTTTCCTACACGAGTAAAGCGCAGTAGTTTGGGCCCACGGGTCCAACATCAGGTTAACTTAGAGTCCAAGGTCAATCCTAAGAATATAGTCTCAGTGGAGAAAGGGAGCCCCATTTCATTGAGTTTTGGCGGAACCATACTCGGTATTTTGTGTCTCCTGCTGAATATGACCTGTTCCGTCATACGGGGGTTCCCTTCCGACTTGCAGAAAGCGAATCAGTTAGAGACGAGATCAAGGACTCTCTGAATCGGCCGGACACAGCCACCATGAAGTCGTCAGCGCAAGCAACTACTTTATTTCTCTCCTTTTCCAATCTTCGTGGCTGAATTCTTCTGCCGTGGGACCTATTTTTACCTGCCTATTTGGTAAAGTCAATTATTTGGAGAGGATTTACATCGAGTAAATTATTTGGAGAGGAAATTAAATACAATTGAGCAGAAGGAGAAATGCAATTCATCAGACTATGCTGGAATTCCTGAAGTCAACAGCAATAATGTTTTGGAGAAAGTATTGCAGGTATTAAATGTTGGGCTGAAGTGAAAGTGATAATACATGTAAAACTTTACTTAAAGTTGTTAGTGTTAAATTTAATAATATTGAAAACAAATATAGATTAATGAATAAAATAAAAATATTAGAAGAATTGATGCACGTATATTTATTGAAATTCACAAAAAAGGTTTTATTAATATTAATCATTTTATGACCCTTACTGATTTTATGAGGAAATTATTTAATAAGGCTAGTGAAAATATAAAGGAAAAACAAATTTAGATTTTTATGGTTAAAAAATTCTTGTATTTATCTGAAAAAAAATAAGAAGGTGATATAACAATTGAAATAATATTGCTTAATAGTTATAAATAAATATAGAGAAAATTACTGGCAATTGATAACAAAGTATTAATTTATAGTCAAATCATTAAACCAATATGGAAATTAATTCCTGTACGGAAAAACCAAGTTACCGCAGAGGTAATAGTAGGTCTGTAGAACCAGTTTTATCCGTTCAGAGTTTAGGTGATTTTTTAGGGCAGGAGTCACGCTCCACTACTATTGGAAAAAAAGGCAGGTAGCGCCGTCCTTCTTCGTCTTTCGAGGTTTTTTTACCTAGTTTTCTTTTTGTTCTATATTTATTTTCTAATGCTATGTGTTTCTTCTTTATATAAGCTGTTTTCACCTTAGCTTGATATCTAAATTCATTCCTAGGTATTTTTCTGAGTTATGGACTACTATGTTCGTTCCATTAAAGTTAATTTGTGGTGGATTCACTATTTTTCGATTGGTGCAGTTTATGTGAACTGATTATGCTTCATTTTCCAATTTTTAGTCCACTGACTTATTTTGTTATTTACCTATTGTAATTTTTTCGTGGAATCGTTAATGTTTATTCCTACTGCCAATATTGCAGTATCGTCAGTAAAGTGGCTACCGTATTCTTTCTATTGGTGGTAGATAATTCGTGTAAAGCAAGTACAACGTTGGGCTCAATATGCTGCTTTGAAGCACACCTGCTGTTATTTCTCTTAGCGTGGACTAAGCGTCTTGTTTAATTCTAAATAATCTATCAGCTACGTAAGATTCCAAAATTGTTACAAATGGTGATAGTATCATTTGTCCTTACTTAAATGTAAGGCTCAAGGTTCTGCGGAATCAGAGCTTCTCTCGACTGACGCAGAAGAGGAATCCCTTCTCACGCCAGTAGAGAAAACGGCGGAGCCTCGGATGAAGACGGGTAATTAGGATATTCTTGGACCAATTATCCAACAAACAATAGATATCAGGGAACAAAAACAATATTTCTCTAGTGCATCTAAGCGGCGTATCGCAGCGTACATCAGGGATGACATGTCCCCAGAGAAAGCTCGCAGATATGAGACGAAAAGGCTCGAGAAGCTGAGGGCCTGCGGGTCGGATGTTGGGCTCAACCATCCCCAGAAGAGGGAGAGCTCAGAAAGCAACACCCCGGATGTAGGACCCCCAAAAAAGAGGTCGATGAAGGGCAACGTCGAGAGAAAGGTCCCTGGGAACATTCCTCAACAAAATTAGAAAATGACTTCTTATCGGGATGCAGTAGCACAGGTCACGGTGGTTATCACCCATAGACTGCATCCAGAGGAAAGGCTATCCGAAGTCCAGATGGGGAAAATCCAAGTAGCCATCATGGATGAAATGACTAAAGTTGTGAATTCTCATCCACAGTTCGCAACCTTGCAAAGGGATGGATGGATATCCGTCACATGCAACAATCGAACACCAGGGAGTGAATATCTCTCCAGGGACAAATTTCTAAGCAGGATAGGGAAGCAAAATCTCAGCCTCAAGATGAGTTCCTGGAAGGTGCTTATGGTGGATAAGGAAAATGACGGATGCTGCTCCATCACCTTCTCCGTGGATGATTTAGGATTGGAAGATCTACGGAAAGCGGAGTTCCGACTTTTCCTGAACTTCTTCCGTGTAACCGTTTGGGTTGAAGGAAGGAAGTCCTCTCAAGGTGCTGGCGGCATGGCAGGACAATTTAAAAAATAGTGCTTACCGCGACAACAACGAACACTTCAGGCCAACCAAAAGAGTCAAAACTCATTGGAAAGTCTAAAGTCGCTCAGAAAATGGCGGCAAGGCAAATGGAAGGATCATCAACCAGCACGATAAATACAAGCGTCCCGGGTGAACCAGAAGGGCTCAAGCTCATTGAGAAACCCGGAACTGCTTCTGTATTTGCTATTGGA